TATAGAAGGAAACCAGTAAATTCTGGATTTTTTTTTGCGGTCTTTCTGAATATTTTAGCCAGCTCATTCAATAGCTTTAATCTTCTTGATTTCGCTCTGCTTTTATGCAGTTTGGCCTTGTCCATCGCCATTTTCTTGGGAATCCAAGGCAACTACTCCTCCTCTATCATCATCCAGTTCCTGTCTCTCAGCACCTATATACCATACAATGTAACAACTAGCAACTAGCAACCCAACCAACTAATCAAACAACACGAACGGCGAAACGAAGGCTTTCCACGAAACATTTTGATGTGTTTTTCTGTTGCTTTTTGTTGTTGTTGTTGGGGAAGAGACGATTTCCGTTTTGGGGCTAGCTGCTATATAGAGCTATATATTGTTTTTTGTTTTGTTTTTGTTTTTTTCTGGTGCTGAGTGGCCGAGAGTGTCGGTTTGGATTCACTACTAATTCGCATTAATCATACGACGCGTTGGACGCGCGCGCTCTCTTTTGTTTATGCATTGGAATCATGAAAACGAAATTCATACAAAAACTCAACTGAACGTCGCCAACGTGGAAAGAAGCTTTTCCACATTTTTATTTTTACACGCAGAAATTTACTAGCTAAGAGGGGGGGTAGAAGAGTGGGGAGTGGGCTAGGAGGAAGTGAGACAGGGTGGAAGAGAGATGGGTAACGTCTTCTTACTCACGCTCTTTGTTGTTGCTTATTTTTAATGTGTCAAGGTTCGCGGCATAATTTCAGTTGCTTTATTTCATTTGCGCGTAAAGCAAACAGAAAATATATCAAAGCGTGTGGCAGACTGATAGACAGCAAAGAAGATACAGCAAAAAAGGAACGAGTCATAAGCTGGGAAATGTTTGACTTTCTTTTTTAGGGGGGACAGAAAGAGAACTTGTGATAGTTGTAAGAAGTTAAAAAATATAAAAATGGGTTAGGGCTTTATTTAAAAAGCTGATATAAGTTTATAGCTTAGTGTTACAAAAGCCTTACTAAAGCCAAAATAGAGAAAGATATTATCGAAACTTTCAAAAATATTTTCTAAAACAAATCAGTAAAACATAAAACTAAAATTGCCTTCACTTTGATTCATTTTCCACTTGTCGCAATGTGACCACTGCTCCTCCAGTCAGGCCAACCTTTGATTTCCAGTATACAAGAGACCTCACCCACACTCTGCTTTACACGCCCTCCGCTCCCCGACAAAGTTATTAAGCTCCGCCACTGGCAAGACATAAAACCGAAGACGGAGGCCAGAGCGATGGCAAAGGCGAAGATGAGGATGTCGACGTTGGGAGGCGACGCATCGATAAATGTAAATGCAGTAAATGTAGTGGGGAAGGGGAAAGAAGAGGGGTTGGCTGTAAAGGGTTGGGGGAGGCCAAAGGGTACGACTATGCTACAGTTATAGGTGGAAAAGATGGGTAGTAGTGTGTGTGTGGGGGGCGGCAATACGGGGCAAAACATTTTTATTACCGCAGTGGAGTCGTAAAAAACTAAATTACTTTTAAGTTTGTAAATTGTGTAAGCTACCGCTCTCTTTCTAGCCATATCTATACGTCTCTTTCAGCCATAGGTTACATATCTATACCCAGCACCCTGACCCTCCCCCTTTCCCTTTGCTTTCCTTTCTTTTCTAGTACATTTTCCCACCGCTTTTGGTCAACGCAAGTTTGCATTCTTTGTGTCACGTTTCCATCGAAAGATACGAAAAACACAGATACAGATACAGCCAGCGAAAGAGACAGTAGACGGGCAGATAGAGTAGCCAGCGAAAGAGACGGCATGATCGATGGTAGTAGTAGAAGAAGAAGCAGCAGCAGCAGAGGGGCAGGGAAAAACAAATTTATGAAACGTCATTTATTCATAATGAGTCAAGCGAATGGGGAAAAGTGTTGGCGCGTGTATCGAAACGAATACGAATAGTAAAACACAAGGGAAATGGCGAGGAGAGAGGTGGGAGAGAAATGTGGAGATGGCCGAAACGGGCCAATTGTGTGTATTGCATTTCGAGTGTTGTAAAGTGCCATAAACTTATTAGGCGAAAGTGTTTCGTGAGTGTGAGAGATTGTCCATGAATGTGAATGTGAATCCGTAATGAGCCCTATTCACTTTGCTATTCATTTTCGGGGGTTAGTGTTCCATTCAAAGGTAATTCTTTAACCACCGATTGAGTGGCTATCGATGACCTAGGAGTAAGCGGGGGTCTTTGCCGTTCAAGTGGACACTTTCCTTGGGGAATCGTAAATAAGTTCGTTGGGTTTTGACATTAAGTGCGTGGTTTTTGGTTGTTCTTTGCTTTGAGGATGTTCAGGGATAAGCCAATGATTTGAAATTTGAGAGTTTTCCTATTAGCATTCTTTTATGGGTTTATATACGAGTGTATCGTTTTTTGAAGTTTTTTTTTTTGAATATCAATAAATAAATGAGTGATAAAATCATCTTGTTTAATTAAGTTTAAATCTTTAGAAATGTTTTTTCTTATACCTCAATTTAGTCTTTATAATAGGTATACCAATACCAAAGTAAAAACTTCTATTATATCGAATCTCTACTGTATAAAGGTAGTTGCAGAGAATATCTTAAAATTGCGGTGCATAACTCTGCACCCCACAAACGAGTCACTTGCGGTTATCCAGAGCATTTCGCAACTTTCCGCACACTTGCAACTGAGTCCTCTGCCTCCTCCTCTGCCAACTCCTCTTCCTCTACTTCTTCTTCGCATTGAAGTATTATATCGTATGAACTGAATACTCTCATACTCATACAGATACACACACATATACACACACACCTCGCGACCCCACTCACATGTCATTGTGTTGGGGCGCTGCGCCTATTCGCGGCTATTTTGTATACATTTTGCATTAATTAAAAACAAAATAAACAGCAAAAGTCGCGCGCGCTTGGCCTGCACGAAGGCATGAAAATAAAAACTGAAAAGCAAACACATTCTGATTTAAATGTGATTGTTTTTCTTGCTTTTCTTTTTCGCCTTCGTCTTTTTTTTTTTTACTCTCCTTTGCTGTTGTTTTTTCGCTTTACATGTTAAGCTAGTGGAAATGATTTGAGTGGAGTTTTTTAGGGTCTCTGATAGTTGGGATTTCTGTGGATTTTAATGGGTTTAATTGAGTCATTTTTGTGGGGTTTAAGAAGTTGGGTATTTAATAGTTTTCTATAATATTTCAATCTTAGAAAAGGAAAACTATATAGTATTAAATATTTTGTTAGTACAACAAGTTCAACTTAGTGCCAATTTGTCAAACTCATGTTAAGTTTGGTCACTGTTAAGTTTACATTATTCGAACAACAGTATTATAACTTCTTGTCTACGCTTAACATCACATTGAGAGATCGTACCCTAAAGAGATTTTAGGGTTAGGAGAGTTTGAGCTATAAAGTTATTATAGTTATAGCGAATTATTTTATGAGAAGTTAAAGATATATGTGTTCCTTTGATTTACCTAAATTTTATGTAAAGAAAGTAGTTTAAAAAAAATATGTATTATATTTTAGAGGCGTTCTAACCCATAGTTAGAAAAGATCATTTGTAATTCTGTAGTCCAATTTTTCCAAAATATATACTAAAATCTTTAATAAGTTAATAAATTTCTCTAAGAACCCACATACCCCAAGTTTCTACAAGTTTCTTAAGGGGTATTGCAAATCGCTGAAGTAAAGCAGAACAGAAACAAAAACAAAGGCAGCGCCGACGCCAACACAGCGCACACTAACCCACAATCGCTTACACATGCACAAACACACACACACACATTCAGACTAACTCTGGTGCTCTGGTTCTCTTTTCTCAGTCGACGTTCGGCGTTCTGCCACTGATTAGAAGTGTCTTTGCCTTTTATGTTATTGTTTCTGCCTCTTGCTACCTCTCTGTGTGTTTTTTGTGATTTTTGTTGTAGTTCTTTTTTTTTTTTTAATACATTTTATGACATTCTTTGTTGTTGTACTTTTGGGTGTGTGATTTTTGCCTTTGTGCACTTGCGATTTTCATGAAATTTCGCTATGGCTTTTCAATAATTTTGTGCACGTCTTGCAAGTGAATTTCTTTCGATTACTCTTGCCAAGTCAGCGAGATGTTGTGTTGCCCATTGTCGTTGAGTGTTAATCGAATCGTGCGGCCCATCAATGCCGTAAATGCGGGATATATATTTGTATATACATGTGTTTCATTAATTTATGCGTAATTTCTCGCGCTGCAGCTGAAAACAAATCAAATTGCAATCAAAAGAAAAGAACTAAACGATCAAGAAAGGAGAAAAACTAACTGTGAAAGAAAATCAAAACGCCAAATGCGACCGCGAAGCAAATGCAACAACAAAATGCAAAACAATCGACGCTGTACAGTACTGTCAACGTCGTTACACAACACTGGCCGGATAAGTTCACCCTATCGAGTGCTAGCCTAAAATCTCCCCACAAAAATCTGCCACAGCTATCTAAACTTTTGTGTCTATAAAACATATATAACGAAAGTGTTGCCAAAAATCCAAAGCTCTCGACTCTCGAATCTCGACTTAATGTCTGAACTAAACAAAAACTAAAACTAAACTTCGCCCAAGCCAAGCAAAAGCTATAAACGAACTATCTATGAATATTTGGGTAAGATTTTACAGGGGAAAACAGCGTTAAGCGTTTTAATGGGTCTAATTTTATTGTTAAATAACAATCATTTATTCATTCATTCATTTTTAAGTAAGGAAATTGAAATATATTTAAGAAAATAAAAGTTTAATTTATTACAAGATTTCATTGATCCTTTTAACTTGTATTTTCCTATGAGTAGAAGGAATATTACAGAGTCTTGTAAGACCTCTTTGTTAGTTTAAATGAACTTTGCATTTCCTTAATAACTACTGAATTTATGTTAAATCTTAGTCATATTCATCAAGCTGTTTATCAAGTTAAGAGAAAATACTCTTTAACGATTTTCCGACCCATTTCTCTAACTTATACTTTGTTTCTATTTGCCCTTCTCTTTCTTAGCAACAAAAATTCCTGAAACGACCCGCGGAGGATGTTGACAATGGCCCTGATACCTATGAACCGCCGCATAAGTTGCCCAATAACAACAACAATAGCAATAGCAACAATAACAACGGCAACACGAATCCCAATAATGGCGGCAACAACAACAACAATGGCTCCAATACCGGAAACAACAACAATGCGAATAACAACAACGGCAACGGCACCAACAACGGCGGCAGCAACAACAACAACGGCTCTGAGAATCTAACCAAATTCTCGGTGGAAATTGTTCAGCAACTGGAGTTTACCACATCGGCGGCCAACTCCCAACCGCAGCAGATTAGCACTAATGTCACTGTAAAGGCTCTGACCAATACATCGGTGAAAAGTGAACCAGGTGTGGGCGGAGGCGGTGGCGGCGGCGGTGGTGGTGGAGGTAGTGGCAATAACAACAACAACGGAGGAGGAGGCGGCGGCAATAATAGCAACAACAACGGAGGCGATCATCACCAGCAGCAACAGCAACAGCAGCAGCAGCAACAACAAGGCGGCGGACTGGGTGGCCTCGGCAATAATGGAAGGGGCGGGGGACCCGGCGGCATGGCCACGGGTCCAGGGGGCGTGCCCGGTGGCCTTGGCGGCATGGGTATGCCACCCAACATGATGTCCGCCCAACAGAAGTCGGCCCTAGGCAATCTGGCCAATTTGGTAGAGTGCAAACGGGAACCGGATCACGATTTCCCCGATCTCGGCTCGCTGGATAAGGATGGCGGTGGCGGGCAGTTCCCAGGCTTTCCCGATCTCCTTGGTGACGACAACTCGGAGAACAACGACACCTTTAAGGATCTCATCAACAACCTGCAGGACTTCAATCCCAGTTTCCTCGATGGCTTCGATGAGAAACCACTGTTGGACATCAAAACGGAGGATGGCATCAAGGTGGAGCCGCCGAATGCCCAGGATCTGATCAATAGCCTGAATGTTAAGTCCGAGGGCGGTTTGGGTCATGGCTTCGGTGGCTTTGGTCTGGGTCTGGACAACTCGGGCATGAAGATGCGTGGCGGCAATCCCGGAAATCAAGGTGGCTTCCCCAATGGTCCAAATGGTGGGGCAGGTGGTGCTCCCAATGCGGGCGGTAATGGTGGAAACTCTGGTAATCTCATGTCTGAGCATCCGCTGGCAGCTCAGACACTCAAGCAAATGGCCGAGCAGCATCAGCACAAGAATGCCATGGGCGGTATGGGTGGATTCCCCCGTCCGCCCCACGGCATGAATCCCCAGCAGCAGCAGCAACAGCAGCAACAACAGCAGCAGCAACAGGCCCAGCAGCAACATGGTCAAATGATGGGACAGCCGGGACGATATAATGACTATGGAGGCGGCTTTCCCAATGACTTTGGCCTGGGACCCAATGGTCCGCAGCAGCAGCAACAGCAGCAGCAGCCGCAGCAGCAACACCTGCCGCCGCAGTTCCATCAGAAGGGTCCTGGCCCAGGTGCCGGCATGAATGTTCAGCAGAACTTCCTGGACATCAAGCAGGAGCTCTTCTATTCCTCTCAAAATGATTTCGATCTCAAGCGTCTGCAGCAGCAGCAGGCCATGCAGCAGCAGCAACAGCAACAACAACAGCAGCAGCAGCAACAACAACACCATCAGCAGCAGCAGCAGCAGCAACCCAAAATGGGAGGTGTGCCCAACTTCAATAAGCAACAGCAGCAACAGGTGCCGCAGCAGCAGCAACTGCAACAGCAGCAGCAGCAATACTCGCCCTTCAGCAACCAGAACGCCAATGCGGCGGCCAACTTCCTCAATTGTCCGCCAAGGGGTGGACCAAATGGCAACCAGCAGCCGGGCAATCTGGCGCAGCAGCAGCAACAACCCGGTGGTGGTCCGCAGCAGCAGCAGCAACAGCGTGGCAATGCCAACAATGGGCAGCAGAACAATCCGAATGCCGGACCCGGTGGCAACAACTCGAATGCACCGCAGCAGCAACAATCGACGACCACAACGCTGCAGATGAAGCAGACGCAGCAGTTGCACATTAGCCAACAGGGTGGCGGAGCCCATGGAATTCAGGTGAGTCAAAGTCCCTCTTTTTGTATACTCCCTATATATATATATCTAGTAAAAAAAAAGCCCCCCTTCTGCCCCCAAAAAAAAAGAGAACCCTTAAAACACCCAAAATGTGACTGTTGCCTAGATGGAGCTTATCCAATAACATAACGCTACTTAATGCCATTGACACGTATGTAAATATCCATGCATATTTAAGTTATCAGCGTAACGAAGTCAACAGCTTTTCACGAAAATCCCGACAGCCGAGCCAGCGCAGAAAAGCTCCTAGGGGGGTGGTTTTTCCACATTGAGTTTAACTCAACATTTTCACTCACTCAACTCTGAATCTGACTGCTTGTTTTCTTTATATTTATCTTACTTTTTGTATTGCTTTTTGTTGTTGTGAAAGGATCATAAATCATGTTGGGGCAAACAAGCCGAGCAAACGAACCTTTGCCCGCTTTTGCCCGCTCTCTCATCGAGTTTTCTCGCTCTCTCTCTCTCTCTTCCTCTCTTTCTCTCTCTCACACTCGCTCGTTCTCTTGTTTCGCATTTAACCCTCGATTTTCCCATTTCCACTCGCCCAACCGAGTTTATCTCTGTCCATTAATTTTACCACACATCTGTTCATAAAATTGCTCGGCGACCTGGCGCTCGGCTTCAGTGAGTCCTCGGCAGCGAGCGAGTGTCCTTTAGCGCTATGTGGCTGCCTTCTCTCGTCACTGTCCCTCGGACTACGCTGCCAGTGCGGCCTCCCGCTTTTCCTGCCACCCAAACCATTTCCATTTGAATTTTCCGAGTTCCATGTGCGCCATTTTCATTACGTGAGCGACAACCGAACATTGTTGGGGAGAAAAAGGACACTGGCACCACCAGCAAAAAAGAGGATTGAGCTTGGCTTGCAATGGTTGCTTTTCGGGTTTTTCTTAAATGGAAATTTGCTGATTACAGTAGGGAAAATGCTTAAAGAACTGGTGAGAAACCCAGTAAAAAAGAAGCTAAGCTATGCACTGAAATAGTCAGACAAGGGAAAGAAAACTTGAGAAGCCTTAGAAGATCTAGCTGAAGAAAAGCCATTTTTGAGGGTGAAATTAAACGTCGTATAGAGAAAATGCTAAGAGATTGATTGACTTTAAATTAAACTTAAAGTTAGTAAGCAAATTTGTTTTTATTAATATTAAATACTGTATTTAAACATAATCTAAGTAGGAAGTCTAAGTGTTTCGAAAATGTACAAAATTCCATTTTAAACAGCCCCGAAAAGCATGCAATGTAAATTGTCTTCATATAAGGACTTCCCTTTTACACCTTTATTGTGTTAATTTGAAATAAAAAAAAAAAGGTTTCTTTTGTATGGAAAAAGATAAAAGTCATGTCAATTAAAAAGCACCCCTAGTAACATTTCAAACTTCCCTTATTGTCCCAAACGGAAGAACCCTTTCGTACATTTTTGATCCTTATTTATTGTGCATTTTTGGCAACAGACCCCCAAAGTGCATGGGCCCATGAACATTTACTGAGCTTCGTCATCACTCATCCATATAGTAATGCATTCATCACTTCATTGCTTCGCTATGTCCCCTCCTCCTCGTCCCCTCTCGCCTTTTTCTGGCCAAAGCAAGGGAATCTCTCGCTCTCACAAAAGCAATATTCCCTAGCCACATGCATCCTCACACACATATAGACATTCCCACATATATGCACTAAACCTAACCCATATTCATTATCCGCTCCAAATTGTTTTCCTGTTATTTTGCAACAACAACAACAACAACGTCAGTAGAAGCTACAACAACAACAACAACAGCACCAACATTTCATTTACAAAATGAAAGTGCAAAACTTTTTAAGCTAAGTTTCATGTCGCTGAGTAGTTTTCATCAGAGAACAGCCAAAAAAGCATAAAAGAGAGCGAGAAAGGGGAGTAGAAAGGGGAGATAGAGAATGGGATATAAAGATAGAAAGAGAGGGAGAGCAGAATGGTTTTGGCCTGGTCGAAAAGGGACACGGCAACGGCATTTCATCCGATTTTTGGTCAGTTGCACTTGGAAAAAGAGGTCCTAGCGTTGGTTTTTTTATAATATTTTACTTTAGTGATTATATTTAAAAGAAATATAGAATTTATGAATGATTTTCTTTCACAATTTTGTCTTCATGAAAATATAACTTTATATACCCTTTTTAATCCTAATTTAAAACACCTATTAATTTCTCTCCGTGCCTTTCTTCCTGAGCGCATTTAGCTCAAGTTTTGCCATGAATTTCGTTCATGCATTAACCCTCGGTTGCCTGAGACTTTTCCCTCTTAACCACCCTAAACCCCCGCGCTGCATAGCAAAATAGTTGAAGCAAGTTGAGGGCCGTGGAAAATGAGAAGTGGGAGGGAAAAACTGTTTTTTGAGGAGGCAAAACTTGTTGACGATTGAGATTGAAATTTTTCGGGGTTTATTATAATTTTTTTTTTTTATTCCAACTGGCCACTAGCCACTCAGCCCCGTTTATATTGTGCCCTCCGGTGGCGTCTAGTTTTCCTCTCCCTTACTGCGATTTTTCCTTAGTGGGGATGCTGGTGGCTCGTTGGCTCTGTGGCCTGTTTGGCTGTCCATAATCAAAGGCTGTCCTGGCGAATCCTTTTGGCTCGCTTATCGGGCCAAGACACAACACGTATACACACTTAAGTCTAACGATATATTTGCATAGGACTCATTAAAAATGCCCCCAAAAAGTGTGGAGGAGGCATTTGGCAACGAGGGTTGCAAGAAGCCAAAACAGCATCGGGGATTCAACGAGTTTTCTCGGCTCAATAATAATTTCTTCTTTTTTTTTTTTTTTTTTTTGCGAGGGGAAGGAAGAAATGTGGGGAAACCTCTTAAGTGCAAGAAATGAGCGGGCAAAGTGTAAAAATGTACAATGAATATGACAAAGAACGGTGGCGCAGAAAGCAAATGCTGGAATATGCACAATAAATTAAGAGGGGGTAGGAGAGGGGTGCAGGAAAAAAAAGAAAACGGAAAAAAAAATGAGCAGAATATAAAGTTGAAGTGGAAGAATGTGTAGGAAGAAAGGAGCGGCGGGCCAAAAGAAAATTATACATTTTACTAATGAGGTTTTTCTTTCACCCAAGGCAAGGGTGACAGGCAATTTTTTATGGTTTTTCATCTGGCAAATTTTGAATGGTGACTATTTAGGGTTTTTATTATAAATTTCCAGCTAAATTAAACAGTTTAAATTTGTGTTTTTAGGATCTATCTTGTTGATTTTTTTAGCAATAAAATATAAAAAGTTGATTTTTGGATTACCTTAAAAGACCTATGTTAGGTATTATCCTTTTGCTATCTTTTTCTGAAGTTTTTCAATAAAGAAATATAACTTAACTAACAGAAAACAACTTCAGCTCCAGAAATCTTCATCACTAAAAGGCTAAGAAAAAGTTGTTTGTTATTCAAAGAATTCTCATAAAATTCATCATCGGATACTTATTGAGCAAAATGAAACTGAAATACGTACATAACGTGCATAACCAAAGCAACGGGGGGTTGGGCAGCCACAAAACCAGGCAACAGCCAAACCAAAAACAACCGTAGCTTGGCTGGCTAAAAGTTCAATGAATTCAAAATGTTGGCCATTTTGCATGTCCTGCATTAACTCGTTAAAATGCCAGTCTACAGCAACAACAACCACATCGGGTAGCTGTAGTTCTAGCCACCAAACGAATTTGTGTAAAATACAATAATAAAAAAAACAAGAAAAAAAGAAACGAAAACTAGGGAAGAGAAGGCTTCGGTTGGTCGATCCGCAGGCGAAAGCGTCATCAAAATGCCAGGGCGCACAAAAGTATGCAGCGGAAATGTGCAAAACGTGAAAATGTGCGGAAATTATACTTGCCCAGGCAGCGCCACAGAAAGAGACACCCCAGCGAAAGGGACAGAGCTAGAAGAGCTCGAAATGAAGATGAAGAAGAGCGGGTCATATCAGATTTTATGACTTGGTCCCGTCGACTTAATGAAGTAAGCAAGAAATGCGAGCACATGCGACCAACTGGCAGACCTACCGACCTACCAACTTCGAACTTCTTCCCGTCATGTTGTATCAAAAAACAATAAATAATTTATAACCACAAGGAAGTGGAGATCTAGGCAGCATTCAAAGTACATATAATGAAATACAAAAAAAGCGGAAAAAGCGGGAAAAAGTCGGCCATATCAATGCGCAGGCGCCAAGGCAATAAAAACAAATCCCCGAAAGAGATTCGGAGATTCCAGTTACAACTCTTCCCATAACTCGCCTTGACACAGGGATTATAGGAGGAGGAGGGGGCCAGGACTTATTTGGCAGATTCTACATCTCCGTATAACAGTATTAACCTCTATAAATTTAGCTCCCTCGTAGTAAATGGTAACTTTGTGTTTCTAAGACAACAACCAGCCTCTATTTATGAGCATAAAAAAGTTTCTCATTTGCAACAAAAAAAGAAAAACTGGCTATTTTCACGACTCCTTCATTATTCAACGAATTTAGCTGGCTGTTGTTTTTAGGTATCCCGTTTTTCGGATATCGCTACGCTTGAGATTTCAGTTTCAGTTTCTGTGTTTTTCTGGCCCGGGCCCCATTACCTAACGCATTTGATGCTCTCAAAGGTCACATTATTTACCTTTTATATTCCCATTCGTGTCAGTTTCAGGGGGGCTTTTCCGAGTGCTGCTGGGGCGGAGGTTGGGGGGCTTTGGAAAAGATGGTTTTTGGCGCATCGAAATGTTGCTCGCTATATGAAAGCAGCAAGTTTCGTAATATTTTCATTCTGTTTTTCTTCTTTTGCCGCTTTTGGCTGCGTTTCAATCAATTTGCAGGTGTTGAGAGTAGAGTTTCGAGGGGATTGCCGGGGGCTGTGAGCTGTGTGAAAGAAAGGTGAGCGGAAAAGTTGATGAACTTTGACGCTGTTTTTGGGGTTAAGTGTTTTGGCAGAGTTTGAAGAAGATGTGTGAAAATCATTTTATTCCATCCTTTCGTTCTCTTTGAGTTTT